CCTTTAGCTGTTATTAAAATGCTGTTTTTATGTTCAAATAGAAAATACACTTATCTTCTCATCACTTCCTCTTCTAAACGCCTTGAAATTGGCCTCTGTCTCTTTAAGAACCTCCTTCCGCTTCTGTCCCGTCCCGTTCAGTGTGTGTGTGTGTGTGTGTGTGTGTGGGTGGGGGGGGGGGGCTCCCCCATGAGGAAGTTCGGCTTAAAGACATGTCCCAGGGCCAAAGGTGTTTCTGGTCCCCACCTGTCGTTTTGCTCCTCAGCATGGCTTCCTAAAAATGCTGCAGGATTTCTCAAACATGCATGAATGAGTCAAAGCAAGGCTTTGGGCATGGTTTTTTTTTTGAGAGTATAACATTATAACATGATATAAAACTCAAAAAAGATGATTTTACATGATATTGCCCCTTTAACTCTGAATCATTCAGACATAAAACAGGCATGTGTGTGGACAAATAACAGCCCACTTTACAAGTCATCAGTTTAAAATCAAATATTTAGTCATTTAGTTATTTTCAGCTGGTCACAGAAACACGGTTTTAGTGAATCTGTAAGAAACAAACTAAAACAGTTGGATTTAAACTGAAAAATTGACAAACTGTATCTTTTGCCCTGTTTCAGGTCTTTTTATAGCTTAAAATCATGACTTTCACATGCTGTTCTTCTACTGTACATAATGTTTATTCTTCAGGTGTGACACTTTAGCTTTTCTCCTTCATTGCCCAATTATCTCATTTTTAAAGCACATACCTGACTGAATATMACATTGAATTATTCTTTTTATTAGATTTGTGTTCCCTCTGAGATCCCTACATTTGAACACAACCAGGTTTACCTGAAGTTCTGAAGACTCTTGGAAAACCGGATGATGTCGTGGATCATGTAGGTTGTGAGGTCGGCCATGTGAGGCAGAGCCGTGTAAATGGAGGGGTTTCTGTCACTTCGGCACGCCTCTTGTTTGGCAGCGGAGCCGGAGAAGCAAGCCGAGGACGAGGACGCGACGGAGCAGACGTGCGAGGACGATGCGGGGTCATGTGAGGCGCAGGTCTTTGTCGGGCAGCTCGGCTGGGGATCCGACCGGCTGTGCTCGGGCTCTGTCAGGACCTCTCTGTCCATGGGCTGAAAACAAACACATCAGGGTGCCGTGAAGTGGCGAAGGGGGACGCCTTTTAATGCGAGCACAGTCGTTGACCCACCCTGAAGCCAGTGAAGCGGGAAAACGCTGAGTCAAACGTGCTGCGGTGGTTGGAGAGAAGCTCCTGGATGATCTTTTCTTGTTGGGATGAAAGCTGCGCGACTTCTTTGTGCATCTTTCTCTTCTTTATCCTGATTCTCCTCTTCAAGACGTCCTCCTCAGACATGACCACTATACACACACACACACACACACACACACACACATTAACTAAACTTCTATCTGATAATAGTGTTGTGGATCTGTCATCTTAATAAAGCAGGATTTCATTCTAAGGGCCTTGTTGGTTCAAGAGAAAACACAGAGATAAATATAAGCAACATTTAAAGGGATCCATGATTAGTTGTAACATTAGACTTTATTTGATAAACAGATATTTTAACCTGTAAAATAAAAACTGTAAAAATGCTGTGGGATGTTTARTTTTGTAAATTTTAAAAAATATATTTTAACAGGGACAGATCCATTTTCTTTACACACAAAGCATTCTGGGTAAATGATGACATGGATAGGTCCTCGGTGTGAACGAGCTATATACTCCCTGAAGGTTAATCTTGGACAATATCTGATGATCGACTCTTTTAAATGAAACCAGAGAGCGTTGACAGAGAGGAGAAGGTAGAAATGACTCAGCCTGGAACTGAAAATATGGATGGAGGACAACAGAGCTGCTTCATGGAAGAAGAACCTCAGCTTAGCCTGTTAGCTTTAGCACCTTATAAGCTAGCGCTCGGTGCTAGTGTGACAAACAAGCTAAACTGAGGTCCTCCATCCATATGCAGGCTGTCATTATACCTTCTCTCTGTCAATACTCTCTTGTTTCATTTAAAAGAGTCGATCATCAGATATTGTCCAAGATTAACCTTCACGGTGGATATAGCTCGCTAGCAGCCTCACACCGAGGACCTATCCACGTCATCATTTACCCAGAATGCCTGTAAATAAAATGGCTCCGTCGTCTACAGAAAAACATGATCATTGATGTACTGTATGTCACGAAGTACTGGCTTCAAACACATCATTTGTGGTATCTGAATGTTACTCACTGTCTTTGCGCATGCCGATGGCCTGGCACTTCTGTAAGCGACAGGCTTGACAYGACCGCCGGTTGTTTTTCGTTATGATGCATTTGTTCCGGAACGAGCAGTGGAGCTGTGATGACCTCTTTATGGAACGTCTGAATTTAGTCAAAAATCCACTTAGTAACAAACATCAATCTGAAGTTAGAAATCACAAGAATGGAAGCGAACATTAAACTTAAAGATTAACCGGTTAAGAACTGTAAAGAAAATGATCACATGAGCTGCAAGGGTTGTGACCAGGAGGCACTGATGAAAGCTATTATCTGGTCCTGCAGAACCTGAACTGGTCTTCCATTAGCAAACATACATTCTTAGTCCTGAAAAACCAGAATGACTCCCCAGAAGTCCTTTCAGTGCCTATTCCAGAGGTCATAAAATGGTTTGAGCCCCCTGAGGTCACAATTACATAACCTCAGATTTTTTAGTAGGACAAAAAACATCTTACCTGTTACAGATGGCTTTATGAATGACCTCAACTTGAACCAACAGATTTAAATTCTTCATTAATTACTCATTAGTTCAAGATCAAAGTGGATTGCTGAAGTCTGAAATCATCACCAAGCATGATTATTTATGTTTTTCTGCTGCARCAGCTAACATCTAGCTCAAGTCAGAGATTAAAGTTGTTTTATTATGCTAGCAACCCCCTTTAGCCATGGTTCTGCTTGAACAAGTCATTAGCTAATCAATTTGATGAGATTTAAACACTTTTTCTCAAAACTAAAGTTATTCAAACAGCTACCCACATCAGGTAAGATATTTATAGTTCACATCAAAGATCTGAACCACCCCTTTAACCTGGATTTTAGTGTTTTACAGGGGTGTCACTAGGTTTTTAGGACAAGGGGGGCTTAGCCCCCAGGAGACGTACACAATTTTTGTATATTATATATTTGTATTCTGTGTATATA